CTGCATTCTGCTCTCAGGCGAAGCTGGAGCTGCGCGCAGAAACGGGAAGGGAGCACCGCACGGGGAAGGCCCGCCGCGCTTGACCGATGTCAAGGAGCTGAAGCGGCCGCGAAGGAGCGGGGAAGTGCGAGCCCGGGGAACTCTGGGCCGTCGTTCGGGTCTGCAACGCACCACCTCCCGCCAGAGCTGGGGATTCGGCTGTGGTGGCTACGCTGTGGTTGGTCTCTGCGAGGCTCCCGGCTGCCCTGCCCCACACAAGACGAAGCAGAGCTGCTCAAGGCAACAGGCACGCGGCGTTCTCGCTGGCCCTGGAGACCAGCTGCGGGAGCGGGGGTGGCCCTTTCAGCGCCCGCAGCGGTAGAGAGGAGAGCGGGCTTCTCTCCCCAAGTCAGGCGGGAGAAGCTTCATCCAATCTGTGGGGAGGAAGAAGGACAGCACCCAACCTCACTGCTGGGCAAGCCATTGGCTGGGGAGTGGATCTCCCTCCCCCCCCAGGGTTTGGGGAGCGGCCTGGTTTCATTCTGCAGAAAGATCCTACGCCCGTCCTCCTCCCACCCCACGGTTCTTGGGGTGCACTGTGGCCCTGTTGTGGTCTCTGGCGCGGCAGAACAGGATCTGGCCCCCTTTAGGAGTTGGTGGGGGCCACAACGCAGCCAGGTCTCTCGCCACAGCCCAGCCATTTATTTTAGGAGAGCCGGCTCCCCTCCCCTTAATCGGCGAAGGAGGTGGGGCGGGGGGAAAGAGAAGAACAGCGGACGGAGCCTTTCTTCACTCGCCACCCCATTGTTGGCCGCAAAAAGGGAACAGGCTGACCTGCTCAATTTCCCCCATTGTTTGGGCGGGAATGTGGGGGCGGCCTGGCTCCGTCCTGCTCCTAGTCTCAGGGGCAGAAAGCCCACCCGATTTTCCTCTCCCCTCCCCCCTCCTGAGGCGGAACAGGTTTACGAGGTCGCCCGGGCGCCCTGGTCAACACCCTAGATGTGGTGAAGGGCAGTCTAGAGTCAGCTGGACCACGTGCGCCGGAGAGAACCCCGGGACAGCTCTAAGCCCGGTTGGCTGGTGGTCACGGGGCGTCTGGAGGACTCCCCCTCCCCTTATTTCAGGCTGGCAGGGAAAGCGGCGGCTGCCCAGCGGGTGGGTGAACGAGCTCAACAGCCACCATCTTTGCTCGCTCGTGCTCTCTCCCGCACCGCTTGGCGGGGGAGCTAGTAAAGGCCTGGCCTCGCAGGCGGCGCCCTGCCGGGGTGGCTTGGTACGGAACGACTTGTTTAGGCTGCGTGGAAGGACGGTGCTGGCGCTGGCCGCGGGAAAGGCAGGGCTTGTCCAGCGCGGGTAGAGAGCTGCGGCGCCATGTGCCGTGGGAACGGAGGGAGGCCGAGGTTAGGCCGGGCAGAAGGGCTCGCCGACACCAGCCCTTGGGAGCAGGCTGAGCAGGTAGTGGAAGGAGCAATAGGTGGGGCAGGGAGGGGCTGCAGCAGTGAGCACTAGGGGGCAGCGACAAGCACAGGGCCGTGTGGTGCCCAAAGGGGACAGGAGCGGGCGCGCCCGTTCTGATTGGACAGTGCAGCGTTTGCAGCTGCTGAACCCCAAGAGTCAGTCAGGTGGCGCGCGCGAGCGCGCACGGGGGGCAGGAGCAGCGGCGGGGGCAGG